CGTGGCAATTATCTATATCTGATTTTTCCCAATTTTCACTTCTCTTCATTTTTTTTCTCCGCATTTTACGCAGTATGCATACTATTGACTGCGGTTTTTCATGTGAGGGCTATTATTCGACAAAGTGCATCGTTGGCTCTCCTAATCACTGCTACAAATATTATCCTCTTTGATATTGACAAATGATAGCGATCCTTCTTTACTTACTTATTTTTTTGACTGCTGATTTGCCAGAGTTTCCTTTCTCTTCCGTTCGTTCATTTGAGTGAGATATCTCGACACCATTACTTGTGTGTACAAGTTTAGTATGTATGCAAGTGTGTTAAATATTTCGTTGGAATATAGCAATTGTGTTAACTATATGATTTTGTCTAGCTGTCTAGAAAATAGGTCTACACGTATATGTATGTACACGCTCTACTGAATAATGAGGAAATTCGATTGCCAGCTTTAAATCCAAAAATGACATTAACTGTAGGATTTTGGATGATNTAGTGCTTGGCTACGTGATGAAGATTCGCCAGTAGTAGCTCGTCTCTCTCAACTGATTAGTGCTCTCACAAATTTGACCATGGAAACGGCTGAGGAAATTCAGGCATTTATTTTATTTTCTGTTGTAGTATAATGTATAAAATGAATACTAGATCGGCAACTATGGAATCGGTGGCTACTACAGTCCTCATGTGGATTTTTATCATGTATGCTTTTGTTTTTCAAGCTTTTGCTAAATCGATCATTGCCAATGTAATGCATTTAGAAATGGGAATATCCTGCTTACTACCACAAGGTTGGTAAGTATATCATTGATCTAGGAGAGTTATCAAGATTCTACTGTTATTCAGGTAATAGAATAGCTACATGGATGACTTATGTAAGTTGCATATGACTTAAGGACGCGATGCATGATGTAGTCTTATTTCTTAGATGAGTGACGTGGAGTGGGGCGGAGCAACTGCCTTTCCTCTTTTCGGAGGTTATATCACGCCAAAGAAAGGAAGCACATTATTTTGGTACAATCTCCATGCGTCCGGTGAAGGTGCGATATGATTGAACTTGACTGGATTATATTGATTAGCTGATATCTCTTTTTTAGCTGACTACAGAACACTACATGCAGGTCAGTATTGTTTTGTTAATCACTGTCGAAATACGTAAGCTTTTCTTCTATTCTTCCAGCTTGTCCGGTCTTGATTGGTAATAAATGGGTAGCAAATAAGTGGATTCATGAATATGGTCAAGAATTTCGACGCCGATGTTTGCTTGATCCAATGGCGTAATAATCGTGCACCAAAATAATTTCTTTCCTGTGACGAATCCTCTGTCGGTCAACGTGTTCAACAAGATTCTATTGATAGTACCAATATTTTAACAGACAAAATTAAACTAGACACTTTTTTAAATAGTCTTCCTTCCGTTTTTTCTTGTATCTTTCACTCGTTCCCAATCAACATTTTAGTTGGGTGTGGGTGCGGGTGCGGGTTGGTAAAGAAGAAACTCACACCGACACACCCTCAAGTGATTATTATGTATCGATTGGGCCATTATGTGCAACTGTGTGAAAAAATGATGACCTTCAGATATTAGTACCCTATATGAGATATAGTAGAAAGTGGTCCGCCAACTTAGTTTATAGATCGTTTGAAAGCTCTTTTAAACTGGTAGAAAATCCTTGAAATTCATTGGGAATAGAGGAGTGAAATTATTAGATCATCATCGCAGGGATGATTTGTATTAAACGAAATTTTCAAATACATTTTTTTCAAACGGTTTTAAAAGAAATAAACAATTGTTATACTTTTCTAAATGTTACCAAGATAAGGCTAGAAAAATAAGAACTTTAACATTAGAAAGAAGCTGTACAGAATTTTTTTAAATCGTTTATCATTAATTTCATTTTTAAAACAGATTGTTGACAAAATCATGTTTATGTGCTGACAAATACGATTCAATTATTTATTTATGGTGTGTAAATAAATAAATCAATGAGTACATTCACTGATATAATAATGTATATCAATGAGATATAGTTGTGTAATTTGTGATCGCAATATCTAGGAGAAAACAATAAATGATAAAGATTGGGATCGTGGCATCATTCGTCAATAGATCCTGATGGTTTTGCAACAATCTTTCGTATTGATTATGGTGATGTACAACGCATTCATGTACAATTTCTTCGGCCATTAAAGGTTAGTCGTTACGAAAAATTGATTATGTTGTTTCGCAAAATTATTTTGTTTAGTAGGAGTGACTGTTGGAAACATACCGTCTGGCTTATCATTGTACATTATCCAATATAATCAAACCAATAAATGGCTGGTCATTAAATGTTATTGATGAATTTCGTGCACAATTAAATAGACCAAATCTTTATGCATGATTTCTCAATTATAATGAAATAAGACAAATATCAGAAGTTGAAATGCGTGTAAAAGAATCAACAACAACAGTAAATAAAGATTTTGGTATGATAAAACTTCAAATTTTATTAGATTTTCAAATTTATTTTTCTATTAAATAGAACAATATCAAATGGAGCGAACAGCAGTGTAAATAAGTGATCAACATGTTTATCAAAGTATATTTATTATTTCTTTGTCTCTTTTTCTAAAGATATTCCAATGGAAATATTAGATTGTACTCGATCAAATGAAATTTGTATGCTTTATTATATAAGTTCAACTCGTTTTTATGTTTATCTTAAATAAAAATTTTATTTTCATACAAGTGTAAATAATAAAATTTTATTTTAAAATAAAATAATATTTATATTATTTTAATAGTTTCAAATCGATTTGCAAAAATATATGCAAAATCTTGATACATTATCATCACCTTTGGAATATCAAGCAGTTGCTGAACAAGATAGCCGTGCTTGAAAGTGTGTGGGTGTGAGCATGGGTGTGTGAGTTTGGGTGCGGGTGGGTAACGAAGAAACTCACGCTCACACCCGCCCACACCCTCAAGATATTGCAATTAAGAAAATAAAATTACTACATCCTAAATTAACTATCGATGATAAAAATTTAAGAGAATTATTCTACTATTTTACTAATAGAACAAACTTTATTTTTAATAATGAACATTATGACCAAATAAATGGTGTCTCAATGGGAAGCCCGTTGGCTCCTATACTTGCACATCTATATATGAGTGAACTAGAAGAAAATATTATCAATTTTACAGGAAAGAAACCATCCGTATTTTATAGATATGTTGATGATATTTTTATGATATTTCATGGAACACAACGAGAAATTGATCTGTTTGTTAAATTCATGAATAATATTGAACCTACAATTAAATTCACTTTAGAAATACAAAAAGAAAATAAATTACCATTTCTTGATGTCATGATAGAAAGAAATAATTTGGAACTAATCACATACGTTTACAGAAAACCTACAGATACAGGTCTATATCTTAGATGGACCAGTAATCAACCTCGTAATTATAAAATTAATTTAATTAAGTGTCTATGTACTCGTGCGAAAAGAATATGTTTATCTGATGATCTCTTTAAACAAGAATTAGAATATTATAAGAGCATTTTCATCACGAATGGTTATCCTATTAATGTCATTAATAAAACTATACGTAATATTGAATTAAGTATTACAAAGAAAAAACCAATTCTGAATATAAAAAAATATTCATTTCAGTTCCTTTTTATGGTGAATGTTCCTTAGCATTAGCCAATAAGATTAGAAAAATCATCAAAATCCTACAGTTAATGTCATTTTTGGATTTAAAGCTGGCAATCGAATTTCCTCATTATTCAGTAGAGCATTCCGTGGAACTAATGGTAACAAAAGAATAGTGTATGGCTATTCATGTTATGATTGTCAAGGATATTATATAGGTCAGACAGCAAGAGGTGCTGAAGTTCGTAAAGAAGAGCATAAAAATGCCTTTAACGGCAAAGGTTATTCCAAAATAGCTGAACATTGTCTTAATAACAAACATCGTAACAATTGGAATACTGATATTTTAACCATTGAATCTAATGATTTAAAAAGGAATATAAAAGAAAGCTTACTCACAAAAGAGCTTCGTTTTAAATGTGTTCTGATCGAAAACAAGACGCATTATTTTGGGGGCGATAAAAATTAATTAATTTATGATAAGAAAACGTTTCCTTATCATATGTGTCTTTGTTCCTTTTCTCTCTTTGTATTGCTCATATATTTATTCTTATCTTGTTCTGTCATTTCATTTCATTTTCTGACTGATGATGTTATGAGTTCATACCGAAACTTCTCACTTTTTCAATAAAATGATTAAAACGGTGTCGACTATTCTCTTATTTATACTAAAATTGATCAATCAGCTAATTAAATTGTAGAAATGATACAGAACAGTGAACAACTGCGACCAAAGGATTCTTTTGTTAGAGTCTATGAATGACGTCATATGGTCATCTGGATATAAGACCAATCCGATTCTCAATACTTTCAACTAATGTTAAAAATCAATAATCAAAATGTTAATATCAAATATATATTCTATTTTTAATCGAATGATCTTCTATAGATTTGTACATCTTATTGAAAAGTAAAAATCATTTTTCTAATACTTATTTTCGTCTATTTGTAAAAGAAAATTACGAATAAACCTAAGAATAAAAACAAATTTTACCCAAAATAATTAAATTAACTTTGAAGAACATTATTGTTCACGTGCGCGTAGTTCTTTAATTTTATTTAGTATTTTAACTGATAGACCTAATTTAATGTTCATAGTGTGACGTAAATCTTCCTTCTCTACCAGCAGCAGTGCTTTGCCATCAACTTCATTTTTTTTAAAAAGCTTCAGCAATTGTTTCATTTACTATTGGCTCAATAAGGTCTGGAACTTTCCCAATGATTTATTTGTTTGGATGACTTGGTAATCCACTATTTTCTTTTTCTTCCTCGTCATTATCAGCAGTCTAGCATGGACTGATTCCTAATGAAAGTGCTCACCTAGCGACCACTCAAAAAGTACTCACGCCAGAAAATGCTGCGAGAACTCATGAGTACTGGTGGGCTTGAGTACTCATCAGTAGAACTCGTTGTCAATTTTTGGATAATACCGATCGTTATAATGCTCTAATTGGGCGACATGAATCAAAAACAATATCAGTTCAACTAACAGCTTTAGCTATATAAATACATGTCGACTTAAACATGAACTCTATTTCTACAGATTTAAATCAACGCCTTGACATACAGAAAGAAAGCGTGTGGATGTGGGCGAGTGTAAATTCCTTTAGTACATCCACACCCACACCTACACACACCCTCAAGATAGGTTATCGCTGTGCAAAGGTACAGAACGAAGAGTTTCTCTCTCTGATAATGCTTCGTAAATTTTTCTACTTCATCTAATGAGAGTGAATGGATAACGATTATTTGCTAATAGGCTGATAAATATAGCTTCTACATGGTCGTAGGAATGTTATATTCGGAAAATAACTCGAATGTGTTTCTTCCTTCACAACAGAAATATCATGACGACCATGCATGTAGCTTATCATTGGTTTTTCCCAATCTTTCAATTACGTGGACTTACTACCGTGTACATTCAAGATTAGTAAAACTATTTTACACGGCGAGAAAGTTAGATGAATAATTTCAATAAAGAAATATATTATGCTGGAAATTTCATTTTAAAACGACTATAAATAAGCAGTCATCTCTATCATTATAATTTCAATACATCATCTACATTCAATTGAATATATATTTCAACGATCTGACAACAATAGAATCATCTTTTCTATATTGACAGCATGAATTCTAAACAACTATTGCTCGTGTTACTGTTCGTATCCTTCATCGTGTTTATGACTAAAGCTGAAAATTCAAGCGATCAAGATTCAAACAACGGTAAGTAGAAAGATCTCAATCATTGGTATGAGACATATCGATTCTAAGTCTTCTTTGTGTTATTGCAAATGAACTTGTACTAGGTGGCATTCGTGATTTTGTTTGTGATCCATACAGTAGCGATGATAGAATGAGATGCATAATGTACTGTGAAAGAAGAGGATGCAGATATGGTTACTGTAGAAGATACAATGGCGAGTATCGTTGTAGATGCGAATGATGATTAATCTGTGGTGTTCTTTCAATTCAATTAACAAGTTTAAAAAAACATGGTTAATGTTTTGCTTCGTTAAAAGAATAAATACAATATTTAATTAAAATAAGCATCTATACATTCGATTTGACTGTGTGAATATGAGGGCTATTGAGGAAAAAGAACTTTTGAGTGAAAAACCGAAACTTGTACATTTCAATGAAAAGCTAAATGATGCAAGGCAATTTCAACGGAGCGTCCCCTTGAGTATATTCAATTGTTGATGTTTAGTAATGATTCATTGCCACTATTATTGTATGTGACTCATGGTTTTCATTTGAAACACTATTGTTGAGTAACCAACCCGGCATTTTCCGTTCTTTTCGAAATCTATTTGTTCGCAGTTGCTATTGGCGCGTTCATGCGGGCTTCACATATGATTAGTTTTATTGAGCAATCAAAAAATGACGGAATTCACAATACAACCGTTTACCAGCGTGAATCGATACTGATGTGAACGCATTTGTTTGTATATGAACTCAAAAGCGCATCGATGAAAGTAATACCTGGTATTGCTTTTGAAATGCTTACCTAAAACACTCGCATCCGAATAGCTTGATTCCTCGATGGATTTGTGGAGCTACTCTCTAAGTGCTTTTCAATTGTCGCATTCATTCATCTATTTTATAGTTTTGGTGAAGCAGAGATGGCCGGAAACATTGTATCTTTTTGACCGCACGATTGAGTAAAGCAGACTCACTGCTCTCTAAAAAAAACGTGTCGTATTGAACCATTTATGGTTCAAGCGGAGGTCTAGAACTTTAAAAAGGTTCTGAAAAGGGTACCGAGAAAAGGTTCAGTATGACACCTTTTTTTTACAGAGTGTTGGTTCTTCTAGCAAAATAAATGATAGCACCAATGAAATTCAACATAATTTTAACATAAACTGAATACAGCACGGCAAGCATATTTGTCAATCTACAGAGTTTCAGTAGAAAACAGGTAATAAAATCCCAGGACAAAACTCGGCAATCGGATGTGTTTCAATTCGATGAATTCCGATGATTGCATCCGACATGATTCCGATTGTCGGAATCCAATCGGATCTAAGTTAATACTAGTAACTTCGGCCTTATGGCGATTACCGAATTCGACGAAACCCGATGGCAGGACCCTATAGTATTCTGTTATCAGAATCCAGTCGGTTCCCTCCGTTTCTGGCATCTGAGAACTCGGATATTTTTTCCAAGGAACAGTTAAAAATGTCTTAACTTTTTGTAAATATTGTATGTAATTGTAATTATTTTCGGGTGCTACAAAGCAAAAACTCTCTGGCTTCAATTCAGCCTTTAGAGACGTTAGTTGTACAAAAGAGTAAATTGAGCTAAATTTCGATAGTTCAAGATCCACTAGTCAATTTTATACGAAACTGCCGCGTCCTAAATTCTCTAACTCTCCCATTGAAGAACGAAAACAGCAAAAGTAAAGGACAGATACTGCCGACGATAATAGCTTTAAATGGCAATAGCATTTCATAAGATACTATTATTCTGTTTTCTTTTTATTCACAACGAAAGGCAGTATTTTCTGATCAATTGAAACGCATTGGGAGTGCCATGTATTCTTTTATTAACATTGACTTCTTGCAACACAAAGTGCTTGCACTGAAAAAGAAAGGTTAAGCGGTATTTTACTATGCTTTAAAATGTTTTGTTCGCAAAAATGAAACGTTAAAAGAGTTTAGTATCATGTAGACTTTCGTGTGAAACCTTTTCGGGTGTCAAAAAGTGAAAAGATTTCGTAAAATACTCCTTCAATTCCATTTCAAAACGTGATCATTAAAGTAAAAATACTTGCCTGAACTTCATTTCTTATATCATTAATTGTTTCACTGCTAATCATATTTCACATTGAGCAAAATATTTCCAATAAACAGTAGTCATAACGAATCGAAATGATTGAAGTACTTAAGATTATCAAAAACAACGTACTGCACTGTAAGTTTTAGTCGCAATAAAAACTAGTCATGCACATTTTCTGTTGAGGAGCCCAAGCAATTATATTCTCTTAAGCGAAGGAGTTAAACACAGTTACAAGAATATTTTGGGCGTTGGATTAGGACACCAGTGTTAAGTTACGGAGATAAATATAGAAAATGTGATAGATTAAGTTTAAGGGGTTAACGCAGGTGATAGATTTATCCGTTCAAATTGTGCAAGCGCAGATCGAGTGCATTGTAATTGTGACGAAATTTCAGTTACGAAGCCAATTTGAATGTGAATTGAAGATGGTTGGGGTATGAAATCATATTTTTAGGAAACCTGTAAAAGGTTTCTATTTCGTTACAAATCTGTGAATCTTGATTAAGAGCCGTATGGCCTTTTCTTTCAGTGCAGATGGCGTGTAGAACCTTGTTAAAAATACGACCTGATCCTGTCGGTTCCCTTTATTTTTATTACATGATTCGATATGATCCAGTCGGATTCATTGGGCGGAACTCTTGCGCTGAACTATTTCATGGCCTAGATGAATTTTATCAGCCATGATGTATTTTTAATAATCATAATGATCTTCAAAGAATTTTTCTGCTATTGATCAGTGAAATAAAGTATCAGCAGAATTCAGTGCAAAGAAAGGTGGTTGTGTATAGTTCTTGGAAAGCAGTACTGTCTTGGTTCGGAGTTACACTCTTTTAGATAAGGTAAGTCTTGATATGTATGGATGAAACTTCATAGCCATTTCGACAACGATTCAAGATATTTCGGACTAGTTATGTCGTTTGTCTTCCTTCAGTTTCTGTTTAATCAGGTAAAAGAATCCAATGACCTAGTTTCGATCCGGATTTCAGCGGGTTTGGTCGGAATTCGACGAGAACTGATAGGATTTGGTGAAAACTAAGCCGGATCCAGTCGGATTTTATATCGGAATCTGGGTCACTGGATTCCCAGTTACTTCCGATCGAATTCTGTCAGTATTAAGACGATCCGATAGGATCCGAATGCTCACCTTCGTCATGGGTATACTTGGGTACTGATGCAATTTTTAAAAGCTCTAAGCTTTTGTGGGTAAAGCACAATAACTACTTTTATGTCCAACATTGAAATATGTTGAGTGATCCTTTTTACGCTGCTCTATAATATATTTAGTTTTACCTTGAGCGTATTGGTTGAATTGGCAACAATACACTGTACAAAAAGCGTAGAATAAAAAACGAAAAAAGGTTTATGAAAGTGCACTATATAACAAACCCTTAGGAGGGTTTTGTAACGATTTCTGATAGAAGAGATGCCTGTGCTGATGGTATTACACTTTATTTAACTCTTCAAATCATAAATCGCCCCGATTACATATCAAACACACGGTTAAATTCTCAACCATTTGAGAGAACGAAGGAGAATGAGAGATAAAGACAAATATCAAGCACAGAAAGATAAAGGCAATATATGTGATGAGAATAAATGGCACCTTAAGGGCCCCCGCTCAGAAAAGCTGATTTTTCAAAAAAAAACGAAATCGAGTTTTTATCATAGAAAGATTCCCCGTGATCTCCTCTTTCAGAATATATATAATTTTTTGAAAAAAGTTTAAGTTTTGACAGACTAATTGAAGAAATACTCTTTCATCTCCCTTACTCCCACACACCTTTCTAAAAATTCCTAAATGTTGGTCTGAAAACATGGGTCTCAACTAGGAAAATTGTTATAACTTTCGTTTGCCTTTAGCTTTCCCTGATATTCTTTTTTATTTTAAAGGTTTCAATTATAGCTAACTTTTTATCAGACGGATTTTCGATATTGGATTCCTGGACTGAGAAAAGTCCGATTTAGTGTGTTTTTTATACCTACTTTGGCAGTCATACCGAATAAAATACTTATAAAAAATGAGTAGAAGCGAATTTCAAAATTCTGTCTGATAAAAACTTGCGTATGGAGGCTAGCTTTAATTTAAAACCGACCCGACCTCGATAGCTGTCATAGTCATGAAGTTATAACAATTCTCGTGGAAGTCACAAAACAAGTCATAAGTCTAGTTTAGTAAGGTATACAAGGCTGAAACTTTTACCAAAAGCGTTTCTCACTGTCACCATGTATCCCTGAAAGTTTCAGCTCAAACCTATGCTCAAAAGTGGCAAGTCGATTCTGAGGTGGGGCCCCTTAAGGCCAAATACCATGCACAGGCCACACTCGAACGGGAACGTTACACTCCCGCGTGGAATTTAGACGCTCTCCGCATTTATCGTTAAAGGTTAATTCAACGCGTCCTATACCATGTCAAAATCCCTCTGGAAAACGTTGATGGTAGGGGTTTTCAAATTAAAAAACCTAAAATGAAGGGTGTGGGTGGGTGTGGGTGTGTGGGTGTATGAACTTCTCTTTTCCCACACCCACAGCCTTACAATTTTTTTCAGGGTGGTTGCTGTTGGAGAAATGCTTGTTGTGGACACGTTTGGGCGGTGAAGGTTTGGATTATATGTCCTTTTTCATGAGGCGTAGTTGTTTCGGTTGGCGTGCGTGTTTCTGTAGACTACAGTTGATTCATCTTGTGATTAAAGAACACTTGTATGAGAGATTTTTTATGAGTTCCTTGTCGTCAGAATCTGATGGAATCCGGTCAAATATGTGGTGAAGCCGTTGTGAACCCGGGGTCGTCCGGTAGTCTGGGTCGATCGGTTGCGACAATGTTCGGTTGTATTATCCGGGTGTGGGTGTACCAAAGGAATTTACACACACTCACACCCTTGTTAATGCTCGCTTTGGTGCTGTTTGGCAAAAACTTCTGGAAAAAATTGAACATCCAGAAAAATATTTTCAAAGAATTCGTCATGTTGAAATATTAGAAAATGAAAAAAATCATCTTTTAAGAATTCTTCAATTTGAAGGTGATAAATGGCAAGAATTAAAAGAGTTAATTGTTCATGATAAATCAAGTGGAATAATTGTTTATTGTTTAGTTGACCATCCTTATTTTCAAGGTGAAACAATTAATATTTGTCGAACAACAAATCAAGTTTATCAATCTGAATTAGAATATGAAATTAATTGGAAGTTAAAAGATCAAAATTCGAAAGAATCAAATGATGATATTTATTATTCTGAATAAGCTTTGCAATTAGCTATTAACGAAATTAAAAAAATTTCAGAAGAAACTGAAGCCGATTGCCAATGAATTTTTTAAGTTACTTGCTATTTCCACTTTATTCAAAGTCATAAAACAAACAAATTCTTGGCATGATGATATTTCAATCGATTTTATTTACTATTTCGAAGGTAAAAAAAAAGTTCTATCAATATATTTCTGTTTAGTCTTTTAAATTTTTTTAAAAAAGGCATTTTTAGTTTATAAGAATTATTTTTTAATAAAATACAATAAGAATTCATCTTTGGCATAATTATCATATCAACAAATATGACTCAAGTGTTGTGTTTTGTTTTTTGTATCAGATCTAATAATCTAAAGTTAAAATTAAGTTTTTGCACAAATAAATCATATAATAATTGATATCTAATTATAAATAAAAATATAAAACGTTTAAACACTCGTTTTGTTTATTTGAATAGAAAATAAATGATTTCTGGTTTGTTATCACACTTAGAAATCAAGCTGATTCTAAAGTTAATAATCTATTCATCGAAATAGAATTGAATTGATCGAATAAAAGATATTTAATTTTCATTATGGTAAATGAAATTATCAATATCTTGATTATTTCGATCATTTTTTACTTCTATTCGTTAAACTATTTCCCATTAGAGATTGAAGATTTTCTTAAACGAATAATTAAAATCATTTATATCTTAGATTACATATTCGATATTTATTGTCATTATGTTACATAAACTCGACATTACGTTATAACATTTAAAATATTGAATCTGATTTCATTAAAATTTGAAAAGGAAATCCGAATCTTTTTCTGCATATTCTCATTCGATCCAGAGGTGTGTGGGGCAGGGAATTTTCGTGCGCCTCAGTGCTCGCCCCGCGAATTTCCAACACCTGTCCCCTGACCCCCGGCCAGTTAAATTGCATAACCTCCCCGCCCCGCTCGCCACCATACAAACACACACCCGCCTCGCCCGCCCGTCAATTTGATGACGGGGCCCGCCCCGTCCGTACCACCCGAAGAAATTTTATATTTAACAAATTGCTTATTTTAAATTATTTATTGTACATAATTAATTAGATTTTTTAACAAAAAATCTGAGAGAAAAGTATACGGTCAGGGTGGTGTCCATTTCCTCCATGTCTCTAATGGCACTCACAACCTGTTTTATGTAGTATTTATATATATTATTTGTGTAATTAAATATTTTATCAGATAAATTGCTCTTTTCTCATTTCCTACAACTTAGATGTAAACAAATTACTGTTATTATTGCGCGAAGATATTCTAAAGTTACCTGATCTCTTGTGGGATTGGAAAAGGTGGTAGTTAGGCGAATAGATAGCTAAAATAATGTGATAAAACAGAAATATGAGAGAATTGATCTAGTAGTATTTGAGAATCAAATTTTGCTGCAGTAAACATATTCATATATCGTCACTGCGTGATGGCGCCCTCTGGTTTTCACCTGTCAGTTTTTCAGGAAAATCCAAAAACATAGTTCAATACAGTATCTTTTTCTCTATCTACTGATATAAATGTTATATCTAGATCCGTTCAAAAGCTTGCAGAACAATCACGTAACACTTGCTATTGTTTAACTTTTTCCTCACTGCTTTGTCGGCTCCGGGTCTTTACCAAACGAAAAGGGAAAAAAGAAATACGTAATAGGCAAGCTTGTAGATCATTAGATGAAAATAAAGTGCCAATCAATATGTATTTCGTACTACACACCTAGACTAACGACTTCTCAATAATTTTTTACTACCCTTCATCGTGCCCCGTGAAAAATCTTGACCCGCCCGAACCCGTGTAAATTTATACTCGCCCCGCCCGAAACCCGTGGCTTTTATTTTTATTTCACCCGCCCCGCTTGCCCGTCAGTGAATCGCTACCCGTAACCCGTCAGCCCCGCAATTTTGTAAAAATTCGCGACCCGCCCGACGATCCCGTGGGCCTTANCTGATTCGATCATAATACTATTGAATTCTTCTTTTCCCTAGACTGAAAGGATAGGGTCTAGAAACCGTAATTCACCTGTGTCTGTCTGTCTGTCTGTAACAATGGCACAAATAACCATTTGTAGTAGTGGCGTAACCAGCAAATTTTCGTAGAGGGGGGCTCAGCCCCTAGCCCTTGGAAAGTAGAAGAAGGCAATTTTAATTCAACTGTAACAATGCACGAAGCCAATATCCATATTCAAGTTCACATGTGTAATCATTTATTATGAAAAAGAACAAATAGAAATTTAAAAAGAATACAACTAGCACAGCATAATTCTACTATTTTTATGCACAACTGAAAACTGATCAATAACTTGTTCAAAGTTGATTTCGTAATCACGTTCAATTGACAAAATACAAAGATCACCTAATCGTTCATCAGCCATACTATTTCGTATACGTGTTTTGATTAAATTCATTTTCGAAAAGACACGTTCACAAGTCGAAGATGACACCGGGATCGTAAGTGCAGCTTGAACCATTGACATGATGCGCGGAAACGCTTGTTCCAATGGCTTCATGTGTTGATATAATTCTGCGATACTTGATAGCTTTTTATTTTCTAACATTTGTTTAAGAACTTGTATTTCATTAAATAGATGACTTTGATCACAGTCGATATGCTTAGCTAGAGGTAATAAAAGGTCATAGTTTAAGAAGGACTTACCTTGAGGAGATAATGAGGATACACTTGACAATAGAGCAATATTTGAAGCGGAGAAATGGAACTACATCGTGAGTCCCACCGAATATCTGACCATGGCTTGAGTTTCGAAGAAGTATCTATGAAATAAACATAAGCAAAATAGAAGTCTATTTCGATAAACTAGCATACTTATTGCTAATTTTTGTTGAGCTGTTGATAGTACTCATTGGTTACTGATGAAGAAACAAAATATGAATGAATTTTTGAGACAATTTGATAAAACTCGCTAATATATTGTATAACTTTATGAACATCAACAATTACAAGATTAAGCCTATGCGCATGACAATGTATGTGAATGCCATTCGGCATGTGATTTTGACGGAGAATCGTCTGGACACCAGAGCATTTGCCTGACATTACAGATGCTCTGAAATAAAAATAAATAAATTCACAATACTGATTCTAGCAGTTTTAAGTCATAAAAGATTCCTATATCCATCATAACATTGTGCAATGCATGAATCTAATTTAACACCATAATTTGTTAAGTAATTAACAATTTCATTTGATAATATTTGAGCATCAAACTCGTGTAATCTTATTAAACTAATGAAATATTCTTGAATAATATGTTTATGATTATTTGCATTCACAACTATTCTTATCACTATTGAAAGTTGTTCATGACCACCATTATCGCGGCTTTCATCTGCCATCAAAGCAAATGCCTTTCCTTTTATCTACAAAACAATTTATTTCTAACTAAAAGCTTGATCTAACAAATAGAATATTATTACTTTTTCTGCTATTTGCCATTTAATTTGTTCAGCCATTGTTTTGATCAATTCATTTTGAATAGCTAGTGAAAGGTATGTTGAATACCCTGGTGACCGTTCAATTCGTCGCACGACAATTCATCACGACCAATTCGTCGCAGAACAATTCGTCGCATATAAAGGAAAGAGGGTGAATTAATTCATTTTATTTAGTTTGCTTTTCAATTAGTCATATAAATGTATGTGACAGTAGAAATTAAAATTGTGTTAAGAAAAATAAAACTTTAATTTTCTTATCTAAAAGTATTTGAAGAATTCTAGAAAAAAATTACGGGGCGTCTCAAATAAAACTTACTAATCTACAAAATGTTTACAATACAGATACTATATTCAGAAACTTCATGGGGGCTATATTTTATTTTGGACTCTCTGCAAAATTTGAAATTTCAATTTTCCCTAAAACACTTAAATTCTTAAATTTTAATTTCTACTACAATGTGAACTTTTTTAAAATCTGAAAAGATCTGCTTTATAGATAGCATATGTTCTTTCAACAAACAAATGATTTGGTTCGTAAAAATTACTTAGAAAATTCTTCTATCACAGTGCAAATAGTCTGTTATTAAATAAAACTTAAATCGTTTCTTTTACGGTCTTATCAAAAAAATTTTGAAGCAAAAGATTCCAGAAGATATAATGGCAAAATGTACTCTTTCTTGATCTGTTTCGTTCATTCCGTACTTTGTGGGACAATTTTTAGTCATTGGAAAAGTTGTTCTATCATTCAATACGGTAGTTTTGAAAATTCTCAAAATAGTTTTTTGAGTTTCCAATTTTGCGAACATTAGACGAATATTTGGATAAAATATTACAGCTTTAGTTTTCTTTATACATCATTTTTTTACAGATTGAAGCATCAAAAATTTTAAAAAGTCTATTATATCAAGAAATACATTTTTAAAAATTTTAAACTGAAAAAATAATTTTTCAAATCCAAAATCATTTTTAAATCACATTTTAATTCAAAAAAATTATTTTATTTTTAAATGAACTTTATAGAACTTTATTTTGAGTTAAGCTTTATTTCAGCTACTATGAATTTAAAATAAATAAATGTAAATCGACAGCTCTATCCCTTTTTCAAAAAAAAAAAACAGTCGGCAATGAGTCTCATTTTTGTAAATGAAAACATTTATTGTCGTTATTAATTGAAAAACAAACTAAACAAAATCACTTAATTCAATTAATTCACTCTCTCTCCTTTACATGCGACGAATTGATCGTGCGACGAACTGATCGCGACGAATTGTACTAGTACCAAGTGAAATGGATTGTTTTGTAGAGAATTGCATGGAGATTCTTTTAGGAAAAAGTTAACGTTATACGATGTAAGGAATGAAAGAAAAACAGAAAATACAAAGTGTGCCATTATTTCTGGCGCACGCGATATTTGCACTTATTCTTTTCTTCGTCAATGAAAAGGAGAAAAATATTTGATTATTTTGAAAAGAATCAACAAACGGTAAAGACAAGTTTGAAAGGATAGCAATAAGAAGAAAAACATCAGTACTGATGGTGAACTTTTTCTTGTCTTTCGTTCCTGTTTATATTGCTATTTTCACTTTAAAATTACGATTTGTATAGTTGCAGCTTGTCCCATCGAGTAACATCAACAGAAAAAAAGCACCGAAATAGTAAAAGATACAAAGCAACTAGCCATAATTTCCAGATTACAATCGTGTATACGCTACATAACGCGTGACTGACAGCAATTTATAAAAGAAACTTATCAATCAGCAATAGCTGTGGCTTCCGTTGAGCGAAGTGCACGCACAAGTAGTCGACCAAAAAGAGGTCGATTGCAAAATTATTTAGTCATCTGGGCCGATGGTAACATTGATGAAGCACAAGATGATTGTAAAAAAACACTCGCAAATCTACGTAATGTTATTCATGAAGTCAATATTTGTACGACACCATCGCAATGCATTGACTTACTTAATAAGATGGATAACGAAAAGGCTTTCGTAATTTCCTCTGGGGCGATCGGGCAACATTTGGTGTCCGATATCCATGATATGCCGCAATTGGATGTAATATATATATTTTGTGGAAATAAGGCTCGACATGAGCAATGGCAAAAGATTGGCCAAAGATTGAAGGCGTGTACACGTCAATAACGCCGATATGTGAATCATTGAAAAAAGTGGCTCATCGATGCGACCATGATTTCGTATCAATGAGCTTCATTCCAAAAACAACTATCGAAGAATCGACATCCAGTCAACAAAGTCAAGATGAAATGTCTCCGTCGTATATGTATTCAATGCTGTTCAAAGAAATTATACTAGAAATCGATGAAGATGATACAAAGTCCATTAAAAATTTACTTTTCTACTGCCGCCATCATGATGTACCGGAATCAGAATTGATTAATTTTCAGAAGGAATACAGTCACAAAACACCAGTTGAATGGTATAGTTGCAACATGTTTCTTTTTGGCATGATTAACCGTGCGTTGTGGTCATTGGATATGGAAACTATGACCAAAACTGGCTTCTTCATTCGTAATCTTCATCGGCAGCTTGAACAGTTGAATAGACAACAAGCTTGTACTTTTGAACAGAAATTTATGGTCTACCGAGGTCAAGGATTTACTAAACAGGAATTTGGATGTTTGACAAAAGTCAAGGGTGGTCTGTTAGCATTCAATAATTTCTTATCGACTAGTAAAGAAAAAAATGTTGCAACAGGATTTGTCGAAGAATAAACTTGGGAAAGATAAACAACTAATAGGCGTTTTATTCAACATGGCTATCGATCTAAAGAAAATTTCAATTAAAGATACGCCATTTGCTCTTATTACCGAATACAGCGCTTTTCCAGAAGAACAAGAAATACTGTTCTCAATGCACACAGTATTTCGAGTAGGTGAAATTAAACAATCAAAGCAAAATAATCGTCTATGGGAAGTGGAGTTGACTCTTTCAGACGATAAAGATCCACAGCTTGCTGGTCTTACGAAAACCCTAAAAGAAGAGATTCAAGGGGCAACAGGATGGCAACGAATGGGTAAACTTATGCTCAAAATGAGTGACCTAGATCAAGCTGAAGAACTCTACAATGAATTGCTCAAGAATGCTAGTACGAATGAAGATATTGAACATATATATCATCAGATCGGCGAGTTGAAAGTTCACCAAGGAAGATATCGAGATGCCGTAAAATCTTTTGAGAAGTGTCTAGAAATTAGACAAAAAACTCATCCATACGACAATTCGTCATTAGCATTATCTTGTATTTACAACAACATCGGTCTCGCCTATAATAGCCTGGCAGATCACTCACAAGCACTTGAATATTACAATAAATCACATAAAATAAAAGAGGAATCTCTTCCTGATAATGATCCGCAGATAGCTATTTCTTGTGGAAACATCGGTGCAGTGTATATTGAGCTGGGTGATTACTCGAAAGCACTTGAATGTTTTGAAAAAACGCTTCAAATACAAGTACAAACTTGCCCGAAGAATCATCCTGATATCGCGTGTACCTACGGATGGCTAGCTACTGTGTATGAGCATACACACTGCTACTCTCAAGCACTTTCGTGTCATGAGAAGGCACTCGCTATTTTTCAGAAATCGCTTCCTTCTACGCATCCAAATATCGACTCATGTAAAAGTAAAATTAGTTATTTAAAACAGAAGATGTGAAATTTTTCCTAATAAAATCATTTGTACTCCTATTCTTAATTTCTTTCTACTAATGCTTAAACGTGTATCCGCGATGAGAATAAGCCAATTGGTCAAAACAAAACGAGTACCAACAGTACGAACTACGTCAAATTAAATGAAAACAGAGTGAAATATCTCTTAACGAAAGGTAACGCTTGTGAGAGTGACTCGCTCTACCCTCGGCTGACAGTTTTACTTATTTCGTGTGAGGCACTCTTTTACTGCAAAGAATCACACGGGGTACTTAAATCTTCGACAGTTCGATCTGGGAGTTTTGGTGTTCATATTTACATAAGTTTAGTCGTATAGGATTTTGTACATGAGAATGTCTTATTTCCTGCGATACTACCATTATATTTAACTATTACTCAGAGATTGCTAGACAATAAAACCCTGAATGAACCTACTGAAGAAATTGTATTGGTGTACTCTGAGAGTACAAACTAAATTGAATCTCTCGGTAGATCGTTCTACCAATAGAATATGCAAGCCCTATTGTAGTGTAAGGTGACAGAATGCAGATGATGAATTAAGATCTACGTTTTAATAGCTGTTAGTACGTCAACGGATTAGTCCATTGAACATTTTGTGGCTACACATAATCGTAGTTTAACTGTTTAGTTAAGTAGAGATAAACCCATATAATCAGATTACTAGCTTAAATTCAATTTTGCACTGATCCTTTTACCCGAAGGGTGATCATATAGTCACATAAATCATTCAAGAAAAATAGAAAAAAAATTGGCCAATTAATTTCTGATACTGAGAACCTAGTAAGAGAAAATCGACAATGTTCGATTCGAATACAGTCAACTGAACTTCTTTATTGATATTTTTCATCGAGCAAGCTACGACTCAGTTCAATAAGTTTAGATTTTTAATAGTGTGTCTTGCGTATTGTAATAAATAATATTTAGACGGTTAATAATTTGTAGTGCATCGAAGGAGATATCAAGCGCACTTTATATAAAGTCAGCATAGCAACAACTAGTCGCTCGTCGGCCCCCTTCCGAGGCGCCACTCGTGGCTAGCTGCTGTCATTCTTTTGCTCTACTTCACTGTGTAATCGTTATCTTTTAATAAGATCCAGCAAGTCGCCTGTATTGAAAGACATCCCATTTTCAAAAAGAAAAATACTCGGCATGAAACTCTGGGTTGATGGCATCTTATGAACTCTAGCTTATGTCTGTGCTTTTGCCATCTAGAAGTCTAAATAGTGTCCCATCGAACCTGCTTCCAAGAGAAATCTCATCGAATTGGTGAAATAATATGTGACTTTAAAAAACAATGATTCCACAGCAAAACTCAATGGATTTAGAAGAAATGCGCCGAGCTGTTTGCTAGAATGATTCATACCCTGCCACTTCATTATTTTGAAACATCTATTCAAAACGTGGTTTTCTCAATTTATCTCACGAATATACTCTCATTCTCCAATATTCTTTTATTGCCTGTTTGAGAAAACCATTAAGGTTACGTATATCTATCTATTCCTCTGAGGTAAATTTGATGGATTTCAACCTTTTGAGAGAATTAAACTTCGAATCGAGCACCACATCGGAAATAACGTAATTCTTGTTTGGACTTCGCCAGCACGGCGTAGTGTTATCTAGTACTGTTTAATCTTATTTTCTGAGAAAAGATCGCTGTTTTACTCAAGAGACATGCACTTTTTATAGAGCTGGACTACAGGTTTTCTGACACATAATAAATATTTCAAGAGAAATTCAATCGACTTTCTTCTTCCGATATCTCAGAAACCATCATGATTTTCTCAACAACACTTTCGACTTTTCCTAAAACAAAGGGCTATTTTCCCTTGAACTGATTTCTTATCAATAGAAGCTCAGATATGGAAGACTGATTCCGAATTCGGAGTCAGAATCTTTCATTGCCTTCCAGAAAACCGTATGAAAATCAGCCAATTTATTCACAAAGTCCTACCTCACCTCAAACACCCAACTTTTAAATTTTGAAATTCTACTGTGACTCTTTGATTCTTTGATTCTTCGACCTCGATTGTCTTTGATCAGCCTTTCTAGAAAAATGTATTAGCGTCGTTGTCTTCTGACTGTATGTTTTTCTGGCCCTACACAATTGGACACACAAAACAAATTGTGTTTTGTATGCAAGGGGATAAAGCAAGGGGGGAACGGGGGATTTTTGGGATTGCCAATCCCGTGAAATCCATATGAAATACGAAAAATACGTCAAAAAAAACCATGAAATACGAGGGTGTGGGTGTGGGTGTATATGTTTCCTTCACCTACACCCACATCCACACCCAGACCCTCAAGATAGTTTCTGATAGTAACAAATACCGAATTTTTTTTAGAGTGTGCATTCATTACAGAGCAATCGAATTATCGACCAAGTAAAATCAGACGATAAGCAACATTATTGGGATTGAAATTTATAATAAGTTTATAATCAAAGATTCAAATAGCAGCTATTAAATACAAAAACAGATATTATTTTCATACATTTGCTAAAAACCTAATCTCTTCTTTTTTTGTTTTTTTTCTTCAACATCAAAGCAATTGTGAAATATTCTCGATTGCAACGTTCAAACACATTACATTCGTGTCATATGCTTCTAAATTTTTCTCTCGTTGTGCATTGGTTATTTATAAAACGCAATATCAAATTAATATATTTTTTTCTTTTCGTTGACGATGAAAGATGTGATTCCCACAATTGAGCTCAAATATATCTTATTGCTGTACTTGGATGACGCATTGCATCTATTCAGCATATATTTTTTTCTATTCTCGTATGCTGAGTAATGCAAACATACGGAAAAAGACAAACCGTAGGTATGATCAAATATGAAATTGATAAATCAACAACAGTCGGCGGTGCGGATTATTACTGCTGTTTCTTATCTGTTATTTTGATCAATATGTATCTTTATGTTCATGCGCTTCGCCTACTGAGTGCGTAAACATGAATACTCCTAATATTCAATGCCGAAAAAACAACAAATAATTGTAATGTTCATTCAAGTGTTCATGAACATGTCTATACACACATATATTCATTTGGCTCGATCATTACGCTGGTTTCCGAGAATCGAACAAGCTGCCACTGCGTAAATCTCCTCAAGAAAAAAATATTTTTATGTGTTATGTCAACTTTTTGAATATAAGTGTACTATATAATATGCAAAGTTTCAAATCTATTAGTTTCTCTCAGAGTCGTCATGTTGCAGAATTCAATTTTTATATAAAACTATAAGCACTTAGTTGTCATCATTCCGTTAGTCTAGGGCCCAGTGAATCGACTTTCGATGTCGATGAACCTTACTTGTATTTTTATTTACCTGTTTATCTATCTTGTGGATTTATTCTCTGAAACGAATACAAAAATAAATTTGTAAAAATCGGAATGAACGGAATATTGATATTTATTTTATTTAAATTGATAAATAACTAATTATGTTTTCTTGCGTATTGTAATAGGAATATACTATTGTATATTGGATTCTTAAATTTCTGCAAGCATCTCTCGTAAAGAACCTATTGTGAAATATTTTCTTTCGGGTTCATTAGTTTATCTAACCAATCAAATATAATGTATAATTCATAGTTAATTAATTTCTTCATGAAATTAGATTTATTATAAATGATTGTCTTTCGATAAATTGCAATTCAGTTTGAAATAATTGAAACATGTCAATTCCTTTATTACTTCGATTTGATCTTGTACGAAGCAGTATTGTTTGAAAAATGAAATTATAACAAGAAAAGAGAGACATCTTTTATTTATTATGATAATTTGTTGACGAAATCACATTTTAAAAGCAAAGAAAAGGGCTCGCGAATCTTATCGGAAGTTTTATCTATTTTGAAATTCTTCTCATAAAATGACATCTTCATCTAATGAAAATATTCATCAAAAAATTCGTTATGAATTTCCATATGACGTAAAGAAATTAACAGAGATCTCAATTCCGGTTGATAAAAATATTAAATTAGCAGCAACGATATGGATGCCTCAAAGTGAAAAAAAAGAAAATTATTTTTTAATCTTGTTTTTTAACATTCAAGGTTTTCATAGATAAGAATGTTCAATTAATAAATGAAGAAACATTTGCAACAATTCTAGAATATATACCATATAGAAAAGCAGATTGGACGTTAGGTTTTTTTTTGTTAGTTAATTTTAATTATGTTATTTTATTTGTTCATAGATCACCAAGAGATGAAATTCGATTGAAATATTTTTCAGGATTTGGCTATGTTTCACTCCGAGTTGATATTCGAGGAACTGGAAATTCACAAGGTTTCTATTTTATACGATTTTTTTCTTGGTAAAAATTTTTTTTTCATTTGAAAAAACGAAAGGAATATTTGATGATGAATATTCTGAACAAGAATTATCCGATGGATTAAAAATTCTCGATTGGATACAAAATCAAACATGGTCAAATGGAAAAGTAATTCAAATATTTAGTTTTATTTTATTTATTAAATTTAGAAAAACAAAAAAAAAGACTATTATCTATGGAAAATCTTGGGCTGGTTTCAATGGTTTACAAATAGGTTATCTTCAACCCAAAGTTAGTCATTTCAATTTTTCAATATATAAAAGAAACTTCGTATGAATTTTAATTAGAATTTATCTGGAATTATTTCAGCTTATTCAACAGATGATCGTTATAATAATGATATTCATTATTATGGAGGATGCTTAGCAGCACAAGAAGGTTTTTCATTATTGAAAATTAAAATTCTTTATTGATATCTATTTAGCTTTATCATGGTCAACTCAAATGTTAATTTGGTTATCTGTTCCTCCACATCCATTGTATCAAGGAGGAATCGATAAAGACTTCGATTTATTCAATATTTGGAAAGAACGATTACATAACTTGATGCCTTTAGATTTTTATTGGATAAAACATCAAAATCGGTTTGTTTAAAAAAAAAGCGAACAAAAATAAAATTTTTTAATTTGACAAAAATTTTCTTTAGAAATGAATATTGGCGTCACGGAAGTGTTTGTGAAGATTATTCGAAAATTTTATGTCCTGTTTTATTAATTGGCGGATTTGCTGATCTTTATAATTCATCGATATTTCGTTTAATGAATAAATTAAAATGTGAAAAAAGATCAATATTAGGTCCATGGGGTCATCAATGGCCGTTAGTTTATTTATTTATAATATTTAAGTGAATTGAATTTTATTTTATTTCTAGCGATGATGCCTATCCAGGGCCGAAAATTGGATTTTTACAAGAAATAGTTCAATGGCTTGATTATCATATTAAAAAGATAAATGATGATTATAAAAATAAAGAATCATTCTCAATATTTAAATTAAAGCCAAATATTGATGAACTTCATTCTACTTTAAAAGAAAGAAAAGGAAATTGGATTCATTTCAATTCACTTCCATTTTATCCAAATGAACATTTTCAACGAAATCATTTATTGATCGATAAGAATCAAGAAATCAATCAAAAAACAATAAAATATTATTTATCTTTTCAATCGTTAACAACTGAAATCATTTCAAATGATTCACTTCCGAAAAAAATTTCATTTTTGTCTCCCCAAGAAACAGGTTTAGCAAGTGGAAATTTACTTGGATGGGGAAATATTCAAAGTCCAGATCATTCAACAGATCAACGAGAAGATGATGGAAGATCTTTATGCTTTGATTCTCTTCCTTTAGACGAAAATTATGGTTACGAATATTTTATAAGAAAAATTTCAAAAATATGAATTCATTTTATTTTTCTTTTAGAATTATTTGGATTTCCAACAGTTAAACTTAATTTAAGTTCAAATACAAATTATGGTTTGATTTGCGTTCGTCTTTGTATGATTGATGAAAACAGTTCATCTTCAATTCTTATTTCACGTGGAATTCTTGATTTAACACATTATAAATCGCATGAACATCCTCAACTATTAAATATTGATGAAATTTTCAGGTCTGCCTTTTTATCAAATCATATTTTCAACAAACGATAAAAATGTTTCTTTCCTTTTTTTAAATTGAAGTGTTGAAATAATCTTGTCTGGTATTTGTGTTTGTATACCGGCAGGTTCTCGTCTTCGCTTAGCTTTATCAACATCATATTGGCCAATCGTATGGCCTGCACCTCAATTGTCAACATTAACGTTTGTTGTCCAGTTTACTTGAGAGAAAATAATCAATGAAATTTTATTTTATTTTAGAATTTATTTTAATGAATTATCATCATGTACTTTAACATTACCTTGTTTAAATGAAAAATAGTAAGAAAATTTTTTATTCATATTCAAAATAAATTCTAATCCTTTTTTTTCTAATTAATTAAGTTCAACAAGAAATGATTTTGGTCATCCGGAAATTTGTCAAGGAATTCCAATAAAATATTTACGAGCAAGTTCAATCAATCGTTTTAGAATATTTGATGAGGTCAGCGAAATAATTACATTGAAAGTAATTTAATTTATATTAGATTTTCGAAGAAATTTCTTTTTGTTTTGTTTTCCTATTTAAAAGATAAATGAAGATTGTGGTTCTAGTGAATATCCCGATGGCTTAATATGGGATGAAACAACAGAAAGTATTTATACAATAAAGAAAAATGATCCTCAATCTGCAAGAATTGAAATAAATCGATATTTAAAATATTATTTTCAAGATCGATCGACAATTAAAGTTGATATAAAAACAAAATCAGTTATGTTTACTAAACAATCACCATCAACATATGAAGTCGAACATCAATTAAATATTTATAATAAAGATCAAATATTTTTTGATAAAAATTGGAATTTATCATTTCCTAGAATTAGTAATTAAATATGTTTTCATTCAAAACAAAATTTGGAGTAAATAAAGTTATACAATTACATTTTTTTTTATTTTTAAAAACTAAACAAATATAAAATATTTGAGTGTAAAAACAATATTTGAACTTCTTAGTGTGCCTATTTATATATGCATAGGTGTCTTTTTGAAAAATTGAATGTTCTTTCGTAAAAAAATCGCAGAGAATAAATTTCAACAAATGGTATCTATCATCTCCAAAAGTTTCCAATAGATAATTTTTAAATCTAGTTAAATTAAAATTTTGATGAAAACCTATTTGATTTTTGGGTAAAATACTTTCAAATGCTACTTGAATATTTACAGAGAATATTTTTCCTTTTCTATTAACTAGAGAAAAATATGCCTATTTGCCATTTTTATGAAGGTCAATCTTTTTATCTATCTAAATGAATACTATTTTATTTGTGCAATTCAAGTCAACGGAACCAACAAAAGCACATCTGCATATTTTGTTAGCATCGTACTATGAAAAGTCTAGAAAAGACTTCATAGATATTACAGAAAAATAAGATTGCCATTCAATATGATAAATAATTGTATTCGACCAAAGGATTTATCGATTTTGATTAGACTAAAATGCATGATTTATTGATCTGAAATATTGTTCATCAATGCTATTCAATTGAAAAAATATTTCAAGTCGGAAAATTGATTTTTAAATTTAATTACATAAATGAAAATAGTTATTGACATGAGCTAAGCAAACAAAGTAACTCAAAAGAAATAAAAGAAATATGAAATGAAATGCAGACGTAGGTAATGTTACCACTGGGTTCGCATAATGCCCTGTGCTGATTGTCTACCTGATTGTGCTGAATGCAGAATTTTGAGCTCTATCTCACGGTGCCAGTTTCACATCGGGTCGTCAACAATCAATCGGCGTTTGGGCCAAAATACGACCTTAAAACCATGTTCTCAGGGAAAGATCCTGTCTGAATTCGCTCAGAGCCGTGTGTTGATGCTCTATTTCATTGTGTTGGATGCAGAATTTCGAGCTCTATGCAACGGTATCTGTTTCAGGTGCGGTTGTCGAGCAGAAATTGGGATTTTCGACGAAATACCACCACAAAACTATGATGTTAGGAGAATGTCGTGTTCGAATTCGCCTTAAGACCTGGCTGAATTTCTGTTGGATATAGTAGACAAATCATACGAGAAAAAAGTTTTACTTTTGAATAAATTACTGAAAAGAGATGCTACTGCAACACCGTAGCAGATGTATTTTCTCAAATAGTATTTTTCTGTAAATACTTTTCGTTCATTATAATGAAATAGTTCGAATAGCATGGAAACAAAGAGAAACGAATTTTTTTCGTTACAGCTTTATATAAAATACTCAAAGGAATTATAGATGGATGTGGGTGTGAGTGTGAGTTTCTTCTTTACCCACCCGCACCTGCATCCACACCCTCGATTCCTCGACCCGGAATCCAACGATAATTCTGTAAGATCTGGCAGGATCCGGTAAAATCCTATTGTGTTCCAGTCGGATCGGGTGGGTTCCGATAGGTGTCTACTGTCGGATTGCTCGACCTGGGATATTATTCGTGTGAGTCAATGAAAAATGCGAAAAAAAATAAATGAGACGTGACAAACTCGAAGCATGAATAGAAAAGTGACGGAAAAGATTTTAGAATATATTAGAAGTAGTACGGAAAAACTTTCATAGACAAATCAATATTCTTGATCAATTATGCTTAGTGTTAAGTTTTAACATGGAAGTAGTAACAATATGTCAATCTGTGTTTCGTAACTATGACCTTGACACAATATATCAGCTGTGTGTGGATTCTTTGTCATTCATCCACACCTACACCCTTAAGAGCAATTGAATGAACATAATCATTTTATCAAATATCAAAATCAGTGCGATCGGACTAATATGAACAAGACTGATTAGATTGTATTGATTTATTCTATTTTCAGCTACTTATTATCGGGGTGCACAGGGTTATCATCAGTGTTTTTGATCTTAAGGATCTTATTTATAACTTTAATTATGTTTATTTTTGTCTCTTCACGCTCAACTATCATTGTTTAAAGGAATCGTTCGGCAATATCAAAACATCGCTAACAGAAATTGAACCCAAGGGAAATGAATATGTCAAGAAGTTATTAGTTAGTAATAAATGTGGTTTGACAGCTAAGAGAGTTGCTGATTATGCAAAAGCTAAAGTATGTATCAGAACAATCGATGCACACAATAAACAATTTTATTTTATTTTTATCAGAAATTCGCTGGTTCATTACACATTCCGCATATTGAAACATCGGCAAAAGACTCGAACAAGCATTTAAAGATATGGTTGCTTCGATCATGTCGAGTATTTTATCATCTAACTCAGAAAATGCTAAAGTGTTTGTTAACCATGATAAAACATTTACTGTAGTATTGCCACATTGCTTTTTTTGTCCTTGTTTGATTTATGAATTTCTTACATGATCTATGTCTATTTATTGATCTATATTCTTATACCATTATGATGACAATTTGAGAAAACAGTTTGCATGATTTAAAATGGGTTCATTTCAATTAGAAGAGAAAATACCTAACAAAAGTACTAATGACTGTTTCAAAACAAAATTATCACCAGCTGTTGGATAAATGTTCATGAAAAATACTACAGAAATTCAAATAACGTTTAACTTCAGAGCGTACATTAGGATAACTGCACCAAATAAAAGAATTTCTTTTTGTTGTAGACAGAAAGAAAAACAAACGTAAAAGAAGCATTTTTAATGTGCGTTTATTTTTTCTTGGATTTGCTGCATACATTGAATCCATTGGTTGAGGTTTTCTTGATTGAATGTTGGCGATAACCGTGCTTTGTCCACTGCTTTAGTAATGTGTTTCAGTGCTTCTTCATAGTTCGCCAAATTTTCATTCGCTACACTAATATTGAAGTGTATTGTAGCTAGCCGATCGTGATTGTCTGGCAGTGACTTCTCGGCAATGCCGAGAGAACGATGGAAACATTCAATAGATGATGAATAATCTTTGTTTTCACTATAAACTACAGCTAAATTACTGTATTCTACAGATAACTCGGGATGATTCGAAGGTAAATATTCGAGCCGTAATGCAATGACTTTTCGATAAGTCTCGATCGACTCTTCGAGTTTACCTTCAGCATGTATAATGAATGCCAAATTCGATAAGTGATAACTATATACGATCGGGTTTTCAGTTTCAGTATATTTGCTTTGTTTAGCTAAAGCAAGTGCATGCTCACAATTAAGCCGAGCTCGAACTAGATCACCTTTCTTTGCATAAAGAGTGCTGAGATTTGCATAAGTCACCAATGAATATCCATCCTGATTGCCCTCATCTTCCAATGAACGTCGAATTTCAATGGATTTTTCATAGTGAATGAGTGCTTGATCGATTTGATCCAAATGTTGATACGCTAAACCAAGATGATTATGAACATAACAGAGAAAAACTAAACTATCAGGAAACATCTGTAGTAATGTATTGTAAACTTCTAATGCTCCATCATAATCACCTATCTTCAAACAAAGTTGTCCAACTTTATCTACGTTGAATACGCCTGGTACATAGATCTCGGAACGTAATTGTTTAAGAAGAATATTAAGTTGTTCATCTTGATCATTGGTGAAATTTAAATCGATTTGCCACAAACGTTCATCGATCTCATGAACATTTTTAATTCGAAAAATTGTATGCATAGAAAAAAGAATTTCATTTTCATTTGGATAATAGCTAACATTTCTCAATGAAGCAAATGGATATAGAGATTTTTTATCCTGTGTCATTATGGCTGCATTTGGTTGAATAGAAAAGAAGATGCCAACATGTAATGGATTATCCCGAGCACTACGAGCAAACATAAGTGATACATCATAATCCGAACTAGTCGAAAGGAAATTATTAAAAGAAATGAGACCACCGATTTGTTGATGAAGACGTTCGAAATCTTTCATGGTCATACTTTGACCACGATAAAGCATTGAAAACGATTGATTTTCTATATCGGTCTCCTGTAATTCAATTAGTTGTAAATGAAGATCACGAATGAAAAAACCCATTGCGATTAACATAGTCATGTCTGGCATTCGTAATGCTTTGTTCACTGCGGAATAGAGAAATGATTCTTTCGTATACCACCAAACTGGCGAATGTTGTTTGTAGGTATTTCGAAAAGATCTAAGATTTTCTGATTGCATTTGATTGTCTTGATTTTCAGCAAGACAAATATCAATGAAATCATTTATGTTGTCGTCAGTGTATTCGACTTCAGCGTCAACAAGCATTTCTTTAATCAATTGCGAATACATAAATGATGTATCGAGTTGATTCAATAAGGATGCATCGGTAATCTGGTCATTTTGTGAACGAAATATTTGAAAAACAATTTCTTGATTTGCATTTTGTCGAATATTTTGTTCGATTTGATTAGAAGTCAGATTATTATTGTTATCCTGAATTAGAATTATTTTCCTGGAAGATTTTAGTCGTTCGCGATAGTAATTTCTATTATTGTTACATAATAGAAAAATTGATTTCAGTTGAGGAATTGAATCAAATAACGATAGAGATTCATCATTTAGATGTTCAGGTTTAACGACGAGATAAATAATATCTTGTTCATCGACTGATGTTATAAAATCAATACAGGCATCCCATTCATCAAATGAATGCACAGCATAAACATTTCTCCGAAGTTGTTCAATCTTTCGATGAATATTGTCTTCTATGTTCCGGGCTTCCAAATCAAGCCAACATAGAATTACTCGGTCTGAAATTCTTTTCGTCATTTGATCTCTGTTAGTCATACTTCTACAGTGAGAAAGATTTGTTACTCAATAAATTTTGAATTCATAATAGTTAAGGTGCCATGTGATTGAATGTGACATTTACAATTGAAAGGCATAGAATAATAATAAATCGATCGATTCGTCTGCAAATAGAAGAGAACGAGTAAAAGTAATATTTTGCAGTTGGAAAAAACCAACCAATTCATTTGAATGACATCATTCACGGAAAAAAATTGAAAATGCTTTAGATAACCAGAAAAAATAAAATTCATGCAAACATTGCCGTCATCAAAGATCGAATGTGACAGGTCCAAGATATTTAATTCGACTCTAAGTCGAAATTTGATTCAACTTAAACAATGTGCTAAATAACATATCGATCTTCATGTGCTGACAGAATAGTTTTCTGGAACTTACGTATTTTCGAAGAAAATAGTGTGTAAGTTTTAAAAGCAAGATTTTTGCGGCTTTCCATCAGAGATCAGAGACTCACCGAGTTTACTCACGCCACGGGGCGAGGCGAGCACGAGTTTATTTTGCAACTCGCCGAGTCGACTCGCCTATAGTTATAATGCTATTTTTGATGAATAAATGGAAAATTTTTAACCACATCTTTCGATTTTATTATTTTTTTCTAAGCGTTCCCATTTGTAGTGAAGCCTATTTAATTGGCACAATAAATTAGTTTACAGAGTGCCTCAAAAGTCAGGTAACAAAAAGAGAATTGTATATCTCCAGAGTTGTGATCAAATGAGCTGCTTCTTTTCATGATGGTAGAGATACTTTCAAGCTTTTATTCATACAACAGCAGCTTGTTCACACACCCTCAATCTAGCATCATCTATTTCTATATGGAATTCGGTCTTTTTTTTCACACATTTCTATCAATAGCCAATCACAAAAAATAGAAATGTATCCTAGAGCTTATATTTACAAATTCCATTTTGTAGAGCTTGTGATGGTGATCATTTTGGTAACAAAAATTATTCTATTTTCATCAAGAAACGACGGTACCCGAGTCAAAATACTAAAACCTGACGCATTGCTTCGACCAGAATAGATGAAATTGATATAATTCTTTGACGACCGGCACTATTTGCGTCTTACAGTATTTTGACTCGCAAAACATCTTCTCTTGATGAACATGGAGCATTTTTTAACCAAAAGGATTATTAAAGAAGGGCTCTAAAAATTACATTCATGATTTACCAATAAGTTTTTGAATACCTTTGCTTTTTTGTTCATTATACATAAGCGTACTTTATCAAACTTTAGCTTTAGCCACTAGTGTATCCAGATCTTTTCAGTGCAAATAGATTTGAAAGGATTTTGAAGTTAGATACAATAGGGCGTGGGTGTGGGTGCGAGTTTCTTCTTTACCCACCCGCACCCACACACACCTCCTTTTTTGCGAAATTCTTCATATCGAAACAGAAAAATCAAACTGTAACTATGTGCTTATCGAAAATCAATTTTCCATGCAGAAATCATAGCATGTTAAACGAATATATGAACAACCCATTTCTTCGAAGAATAAGAAATTTTTCGTGATATAATCATTCATATAAAACACTAAATATGACAAAAAAGTATTTCTTTTGCGATGCCGTCCATAGAATCTGACACAACATATCTAACATGTACTTTTTTTAAAGAAAAACAATCTTCCAGTACGAAACAATTTACAAGAACAACGAAAGAATAAATACTTATTTACTTAATGAATCTTAATTTTCTGATATGGAATTCTTTATGAAAGAAACCAAACATGAAAAGTGCACTTCTTTGAAGAGTATAATTTTTTTTGTTAGATTGAACTTCATAAGAAAAACATTCAGAAAATACATTTCTTTAGAGAAAATATATATCGCTATATGACATTCTACGTGTAAAAATTGAAATATAAAAATATACGTCATCATAATAGATTACTTTTTTTATGTGTAAATGATAGAATTTAAAGTGTATTATCAAATCTACAATTTCCTCAAAGAATAATAGTTTTTAAAGATGAAATCATTGATAATAGAAACAATATATGAAATATGTTCCTCAAAGAATCACAATTTCACTTTACTAAATCTTTCATGCGAAAAAAAGAAATAAGAATGTCAATTTCCTTATCGAATATCAATTGTTAGATATCACAATATGAAATACAGATTTCTTTTACCAATGCAAATTTTCTATTTATAAACATCAATGAAAAAAAACAAGTATAATATATATATATATATATATATTATCACATATTGTATAGTTTTTTCCCGATAAAGGGCTTATTAGGCAAAGCTAAATGTGACAAGTATATTTTTTTAAGAAAAATGCCGAAAAAAAGATCGATCATTTGGAAAACGAAATAAGAAATTTGCATTTTCTTAAAGAAGAAGAATGTCGGCTTAGGGCTCGCTTCATATGAAAATAATAGTTTGAAATAGGCGCTTCTTTAAAAATGTCAATTTTTCAATGTTCCATTTATATTAAAAATTATACATGAGTCTACTTGAAGAATATGAAATTTTTGGACGAAATTCTTCATATTACCAGCGACACAGGAACATTGGATCATCGTATCTGATAATGATTTCTTGTGGAAGAAAAATCGGTTTATGAAAATGAAATTCGATTTTCCTTTCGCGATTTTCACATTTTGAATCTGTGAAACCTTGAAGACGAAGACAAAAGTAGTAGTTCATCGTAAAATATTTTTCATCACTAGCAATACATCGACCATTATCAGAACACAGATTTGCATTACACCCTGTTTTGTTCAAAACGAAACAACGTGGTCTAAATTTATCAACAGGAAAAATGCATATCGATCGATTGTTTACAACTCCACCACATATTGAACCTGATGAACAATAATATAAATTTTTTACCGTACATTGCAGTCCAGAGCAGCCATTAGCGCATTGACAAAAGTATTTATCAGCATTTAAGTAGTAGCTACATTGCCCATGTAAACATTTCAAAGGACAAGTTTTCTACCTAGTTTCAACGTTTCGTGTCGGAACATCGACTTGTAGAGACAGACGATGTACTGGTAAAAAGAAATATAGAATTGGATGGAACATACTAACATAATAATCCATTGTTTTTCTGTTATAAGCATCGATACGTCCATAATAGGCATGATTGAGATGTTTTTGTCTTGTGAAATAGAGAAGATAAAAGTTGAATTGTGACGTACAATTCGAACTGGCATTAAAAGAATGAGTTTCAGGAAAATGTAAATAAACTACAAAAACATAACATAAATAAAATAAAAATTGTAAAATCTACGAATCAAACATAAAACACTAAAGCAAAAAAAATTAACTTATATAAACTGCCTCTACAGTGAACTACAGCCTTATAACAATAAAAAAATATAAAATAGAATAGACTAAAATATATTAAGGTACAATAACAAAATAGATATAACATAAACCAGATTAAAATTCAATCTATTGGATGATTTGACGTCAGAAATCGAAATATACTGAGGATTTTCGACCGTCGGATACAATGAAATTACGATTTCGAATGTTATAGAAAAATTCAGGAATACTATCGGATATGGTTGCATGATCTTTTTTATTCAGATTTGTTAGCTTAAAAAAATTTGTCAGGTACAGGAAATAAAATTAGCACTAATAAAAAACTCAACATCGCTTCACACGTTGTTCTCGTTGTGTTCGTAAGTTATAATAAAGAATAACAAGCAATAAAATATTTCGTTTAATAATAAATATCAATGGTGGTAGTTTCTATTCAATATATTGTACAATATAAAATCACTAATCAGTCGTAGTCGGAATAGTATGTTCAATGTAGCAATAAAATGTCGAATATACAAGTATAACACAAAGAAAAGAAAAGAAATGCGGAAACATCGGATTTGCATCCGATTGTTATGTGTACTTCAAAAACTCAGTCGATTTATATATGTTGTGAATGATTCTGAGAAAAAAAAATTTCTTTGAAAAAATCGCTGTACCACTCCCTCCCCCTAAAGGATGGGCCGGTCAATAATGACAATTTTTTCAATAACTCAGTCATTTCTTGACGGATCCCTCTCATCTTCGAAGTCGACTGAGATATTGATGAGATCATTCTGTGTACAAAATTTCATGACGATTGGATGAGGATTTCAAAAGTTATCGTGTTAACGGATGGACGGACGGATACACTGACCGAATTTAGAGTGCACTCACTTTTTGAGTACACAAAAAGGAATTATAATGGCGTGCAAAAGTCAGAGTCTGTTCTATTCGATTATGAAAAAGTTAATTCAGATAGAATGTATTTGTGTAGTATTGTATGATTAGAGGAAACCAGCTGTTACTATTGATTTTTATTTTGGCGAAATATCATTTTTCATTTATGAACAAACTTGACGGTTATGAAAGGTCATATAATATTCATCGTCGAGCTGTTGAGTATGGTCATTGTTGACGCAGGCGGATATGATATAGAAAGAATGAATATATAAACAAGTGAGCATTGACAATATTTTCTATTCTTCATCGAATATGAGTCCTTTAGTTGCTAACATTTCTGTACTATGTGATGAACTAACTGTTGCTGAACATTTTCAGCAAGCTTAGTAATATTGATTTATTATATTCTTTCATCGGAGTCAATCGACGATTCGATAAATTAGCTCGAGATATTACATTCACGTAATCTATTGATTTAACAAAAATATCCTCAAATAAAGATAAAGACTCAAGAACTAATTCAATACTTGTTCGATTTTATTTGGATATAATACCAAGAATTCAACACAATATTGAATGTTTGACTCTTGATTCGCTACCAATGGAACGTGCTCTTTGCATTGGCAATTATTCTAAATTTCATAAACTTAATCTCGTAAGCCTTGAAATTGAAATGGCATTTCATATCAGAGACCGAAATCGAATCGAATCGATTCCGAATGGAACTTCAAAACTACCGAATCGAATCGAATGAATAAAAAAATAATTGAAAAAAAAGCGGAATCGAATCGAATGAATAAAAAAATAATTGAAAAAAAGCCGAATCGAATCGAATGAATAAAANCAAAAATATAGCAAAATTTTTCGCAGAAACAACTTTTTATTTGTTAAATTTTGGGGGGGGCGGGCCCCCCACAGCCCCCCCCCCTAATCGGGATCCCTGACTGTACGATAAGAGGAAGCCAGCTGTTATTATTGATTTTTATCTTGACGAAATATCATTGTTCATTTATGAACAAACTTGACGGTAATCAAAGGTCATATAATATTCATCGTCGAGCTGTTGCGTATGGTCATTGTTGACATAAGCGGAGATGATATAGAATGAGTATATAAACGACTGCGTATTGACAATATTTTCTATTTCTCATCGAATATGAATCATTCAGTTGCTAACATTTCTGTCCTATGCGATGAGCTGTTGCTGAACATTTTCAGCAAGCTTAATAATATTGATGTATTATATTCTTTGATCGGCGTCAATCAACGATTCGATAAATTAGCTCGAGATGTTACCTTCACGCAATCTATTGATTTAACAATAATATCCTCAAATAAAGATGAAAACTCAAGGACTAATTCAATACTTGATCGATTTTATTTGGATATAATACCAAGAATTCAACACAATATTGAATGTTTCACTCTTGATTCGTTATCAATGGAACGTGTTCTTCGCATTGGCAATTATTCTAAATTTCATAAACTTAATCTCGTAAACCTTGAAATTGAAATGGCATTTCATATTTTCAATGGTATACTATCTATTTTCTCAATCTGTAAATAAAAAAACTAAATTGATGAATTTATTTGTTGTATACATTTAGATGAATCATCATTTCTTCACATCTTCGAAGATCAAATCTCACATCTTGCGATAACGATTAGTGATGACAGTACAGCAGAACACATAAGAAGTTTAGCCACGAAAATTTTTGTTACCGTATTTGTTACGTTTAAAAATCTGATTCATCTCGATTTTGAATTAGACGACGATTTTGTGTATCCACCATTATCACTTATTGATTTACCATCTGCAGCATGTTATTCGTCTAATATTGTTGAATTGAATGTTAGAGTGCGCAATTTTGACGATTGTCTTTGTTTACTTGATGGACGTCTTAGTCAATTAAATACATTCATTGTCAAAATTGACACAATTCAGAATTCATCGAAGACTTTGGACAATAAGGTACAATATTTCGAACTATAGAAAAATTCCGGTATTTCAATTTATATGAGACTGATAGAAAAACAGATCATTGCTAAATAACGGGTGGACCATAAAGAATTGCCCTCTGAGTACTTTTAAGATTTCTCCGCTTCCTTCAATTCTATTGGGCTGATGTTTTTTGGAAAAATATTCTCCGTTCAATTTTCTGCAAAAAATGTATCGATCGTTTTATCGCATAGTTTGAAGGTACAAAATCCCAGAAGAAATTGTGAGAAGTACGAAAATGTAAAAAAAAATAAGTGTATTTTTCTCATATTTTCATTAATAGAACTATATTTTTTCGAGTGGTTTCACAAGCAGCAGAACACAGTTCCAGTATATTTCGTGTAGTTTCAAATATGCTCTATTTTAATTTTATAAGCGATAAATAGAAGATGTTGTGTAGGTATTTAATTATCTACATATTACATTTATTGTTAGATGGAATCTTAAATTAGATATCTTTTACTGTCTGTATTAATTTATGCTTTTTTTTGTAGAAAATTCTATACAATCTAAAATGCTTCTCGTTGATTTCAACTACTCGAACTAATGCATATGATACTCGAATCGTACCACTTCTTCATCGTATGTCACAGTTGGAGAAACTTACCTTATCTCTTGTCGTTAAAGATCGAAATTCATTCATCGACGGTACACAGTTACATAACGATATACTTTATAAAATGGCACACTTGCATACATTTATCTTTGACATCACCACTAGAAACGTCATTTTTTCCCAAGTACTCATACCATCTTCGGATGATGTTCGGCGTACATTCATTGAAAGAGGATACCATATTGATTGTTATATTGATTATTATTCAGAAGGAGTAAATCTATGTCATGTTTATTCACTTCCGTTTACTATGAAACGCATGTCCAATGTAACTAACAGTTTTCCCGGTGGTCTATTCATGAATGTTCGTAAACTAAGTCTATCTGATTTATTTATTCCATTTGAACATGATTTTTTTGTTAAAATATCTCAAGCTTTTCCATTAGTTAGTCAATTGGCATTATTAAATATGTGGAAACAACAAAAGAAATTAACAGATGAACAAACATGTGCAATTATTGAATATTCACACCTTGTAGAGCTCACTCTTATTAGTGCACACATCGACTATGTCAAACAATTTCTATTTAATTCAAAGACACATTTACCTTGTCTTAATACTTTAGATGTTAAGTATCAAGATTTGATCACTGTAACAGAAAATTTTACAACTGATGCTGCTCGCGGTAACTGTGCAAAATTGAAAAATATTATTTTCGATGCAACACCATTCGTATATTCAGAAAACTTCTATCTTTATTTTCCATCATTGTAAGATGTATTTTTCTTCTCATATTGGTTATGTTATCTTGTTAATAAATTCAGCTTGAACGTTGTGAGTTGTAATTGGAGATGAAGAATCTATCAGCGTGCTCAAGCGACTGTTCGGAGAAATGTTTTGAAAAATAATGAGTGTTCTATAGTACATGTCGCAGTTTTATTTTCTATCTTGAAGGGATTTAACACTTATTCGAATTGTTCTTCTGATCTCGCTGTATAAAGTATTTTCTTTGGAAAACTGTCGACTTTGTTTTTCGGATGGACGTTTCATGTAGGCATCAACTTTATGGGATAAAAACCTATCGAATAAGCAAACTGTGAATTCTTATTTTTCTACAAATACAAAACGGTTTGTGCTAGTGTGTACTCATCAAGGGCAATTTCGAAAGCTAAGCATTGTACACCAAAGAATAGAGAATTTTTCACTTTCCACGCTTACGATCTTAGCATGGTTCTGAATGTTTTGTTCGAGAGGAAAAAAGTTCTGAAGTAACATCTAAGGATATTTTTGGGTGCATTATGGAAAATTATCTAATCACAAGTCTGGCTCATCCTATTAAATGCTGATTCTCGTACCATCTGATGCGCAAATAAATTCTGAATAAAATGGTGGTTGTGTTCACTTAAACAATGAAAACATTTAGGCTACTTTAAATCAATCGAAAATAACACGAGATCTGTTCAAAGTTAGCTTTTTTTTGGTATTTCGACATTTGTTTTTGTTTCGAATTATTTTCTCTCAAATATTTGTTCTAACAGTTTGAAAGTTACAACGAAAGTTGTAGAGTTTTGTATAGAATATTGTAGCGTACTTCAGATTTCAGCGGATCCACTTTAAAAAGCTCTCTCTAGTTTTTTCTCTTTTTGATCTTCGCACTTGTACGATAAGGTAGATGTTAATTTCTGTAACTTTTCTCTGACAAAAACAATCTAGTCGAAAAACAAAGTCCATAACATACTGGGCAATCGTAGCTTATCAGGTGTATGTGGCATTTTTTGCGAATAAACACTTATTTCGTCTCTGCAATTGTTACTTTTAAGCGCAGTGAACGATCAAAAATAGAACCTGTGCTTTTAACAAAAAAATCTAAAGAGAAATAATAGTGTACAAAATGATTGGATCGTTTATGATCGAGTGTGCTTTCTCGTGCTGATTCTGAATGTGGTCTTTTTATTGAATAAAAATGTTTCCGATTCGTTAGAATCCAGGAATATTGATGTTAATTGTAATAATAGATGAAATATGAGAAAGCATCCTCGAAAAGCTTGAATAAGTGTCAAATTAGAATGTGAAGAAGACGCTCATTTTACTTATAGAATCGTTTGGAAAATCAAAGTGGAGGAAAAGAAATTTTATTCTCAGGAAAAATCAGTCATAATTGAACACTTATTTTTAGCAATCGGTAGATGACATTAATTAAATTTATAGCATGTATTGTTTTCGATTGTCATTTCAGTAAATTCTGTAAACAAAATGTGAATTGCGTAGATGATACTATTTTCCCGCTAGTTTTTAATGAGTTACTTTTCGACTCGACTTAAAATTTGTAGCAAAAATTTTAACGCCATAACATAGTGTATAATCCACAGTATGTATATAGTACTGTTTGAATCCTGCACAAGTAGGCTTTCAGTTTTTCACCTAATGCTCACTTGGTTGCCCACTGTGGACAGTTTTGTAGAAAATAATTCTGTTTAGTGGCATAAAAACCCCATTTAAAATAATTGCCAAGCCCTTTGAAGATAAAAAATAAAATTGAATGATTAATAATACGGTATCTGTTACTTCTTCTCTCCAAAAAAATACAATTTCACAATCTTCTAAAATATCTCTAATTGAATTGTTTAGTTAGGGAATTTTTTTCGTTGTAGCAGTAGATTCTGCACCTCTAGTTGTGACTTGGAAAAATAGAAGACCTGAACTTATATCTCCATTTTGAAGATGACGAAATACAGGAAGCAATGCAAAAGACGCTTTGATATTCGTTTTGCTCTATCATTGCCATTACTCAGTGAAACATATACTTCATCACATGTGATTTATGTGAACACTTTCAATATCTGTTTTTCCGATATATCATTGTTTATTGCAAAAATGGGAATAAATCATTATCATACACTCAGACATTTAATATGAGTAGAGTCATCAAATTAATTTTGTTATCAAGATAAAGATTGAATAGGATCAAAAACAATTTTCTTCAATCTATGTAATAATGAAAATAATCTGAGTCGTCGAGAAATAGCAACTATAGAAAGCAAAAAAACGATCAATATGTCTACCCCAAATAAATTATCATTGTCTAATTCTATTTCTTTTGTTTCTTTATGTGATTATTCTTACATGAATATCGCAATATTATTTCATTTACAAAATAATGATGATAATTACATTAATATCTATTAATATTTTACAATGATATATTTGCTCAAGCTCAACATTGTTGAGTCAACAATGAATTCATTTTTTTTTCATTCTATTTTGTCTTTAATAAGATTGTTAATATCTGTTTAGATATTTTTATCAACAAAAATTATCCAAGTCATGATATTATTATGATCAAGCATGAAATTCTATTATCGAGTTTATTCGAAATCAACTGTATTCACAAGGCGAACTAACAAAATTTAATTTTAAACAAAAAAAAAACAACTTCAGTATTCATAATAGAAAGTTTGCATATGCTGTTGAGTAAAAGAAAGCAAAACACACATGTCAACTTATACGACTCACACTCTACACGTTTACAGTCTCAATAGATATAATTCGTGAAATCTTCAACCATTTTCTAATAACTAATATCTACTGTAGGATGTTGTCATTTGAATTTTGTATACGTCAAAGTTTTTCGTTTAGGATTTTCAAAACGTTTTCGCAACTGCTTTCTTTGTTTCAAAATGATCTCTGTCGCGTCGTCAGTTTATAGTCTATTAGCAGCATACATTTATTTACTAATTGACGAAAGCTATTATTGTTTTTATTTAAAAATTACTTTCATGAAAAATACAGTCAAACAAAGAAAAAAATATGGAAGCCATAAGATCATCCAATTACATCAGGCAACATATGTGTGATCTTAAAAAATAACGAAAATCAGTCAAAATATAAGCAAAATATTTTTTTTCTTAACTTACTAATCGAAGATTTTAATTGGTGTTCCAATAAAGAAAAGGTTCGACTACATCAGAAACATATGTTTGATCTAAAAAAAATCAAAGTTTTTAAAATATAAAAGTTATCGTTTGCCATAAATTCAAGTTACTAATTGAAATTTTGTTTTTGTGAATGAATAATTTGCAGAGAAAAAAATGTTTGAAACGAAAAGAAGAAAAGGATTTGAACCATATTTGATTGGAGCATAAAATGTTGATATAGATGATTCAAAAATGTTTGAACTAAAAAATTCGAACTGTTGAAAATCGACTAGTTTGCTTGAAATTCAGCTTACCTATCGAAAAAATCTTCCTTTCGTTTGATTAATAGATAACGTGGAACAAAGAGATATTTAAACCAAAAAGAAAGCTTTTTAATAATATTTTTATGTCAGCATAATTAAATGTTCAATGAAATACTGAAGTATAGGTTTGAGCTAAAAAATAACAAAATGTGCAAAATATAAACGAAATATAATTTGTTATGAACTTGACTCACTAATGAAACAACAGGTGCACTTGACAAATAAAAAACATTGGTTTTATTTTTGTCTAAAAGAAAAAAGATAACAAAATTTAATTAGAATATGTGAACTTACAATTTAACATAACATGATTTGCTACTGCATCTATAGCATCACGTGCGCGTCCTAAAAAAGTAAAAATCATTAAAACAAATAAATTTTTATTAAAATCTCACTGTAACGATTAAATAAATCTGGTTTAACGTCTTGCACCCATTCATACTCGTCTGCTTCTTTATCTTTCAAGAATGCATATTGTTCTTTTTGTTTTAAATAAATAAGCCGAGCATCTAATTCTCGATACTATAATATCGTTGAATAATTTGAATGCTCTATATTTTATATAGCTACTTACGAATTGTACTATCTGTTCGTTTGTTCCATTTTCCATTATGTAATAATATTCATTGGCATTAATTGGTTCTGTTGACATCGTTGTATATTTTTTTTTTGTGAAATTTGGAAATAATATCTGTAAGAAAAACGAACGTTGTTTTTATGCAATCATGTGCATCCATATACATATGTATGTATACAGATAGATAAAGAAAAGAATGACTTTTAGTCTGAATTATATCGATATGTGTCTTTATTAGTCATTTTAGTCCGGCAATCGTTTGTGGATGTCGACATTGCACTTTACTATTGTTGTGGTATTCTTCTTTTATTAGAAGAACGATAAAGCATATCTTCAGACAATATATTTACTAGTTGTATGCGGGATTGCAATATACTTAGAGTCCTTATGCCACGAAGAAACAAACAATTTATGAAAGATCATCAGGCACAAGTTTATTAGTCGATCATATTGGATGATCAAATGTTTTCATTGATATTAAATTTGTACTACTAAAGGAAACAGGGTATGTTTCAGGTAAATCGTGATACATCAACCAGGACTTATTTAATAGAATTATCAGTTGAAGCACACATGCTATAATCGAATTGATAAGTAGAAACTAAACCTCCTAGAAGAAAATTTTCATCATCAAAATATACAATATAATTATTCGAGTGTATTATTAGTATGAACTTAATAATAAGAATTAACAATAATCACAAACTCTTCTATGATTTTTTTTCACGTACATATCATGCAGAAGGTTCAATATACACTGTAATTTGTTTTTGATTCTACTTTGAAGAAAATCAATGTAGAGTAAGCTCATGGATTTATAACTTTTATGATTTATTAATCGAATTTCAATTATTTTGAAAATACTAGATTTTCTAAATCTTAGAATATCAGATTCACTGCATGTGTTAAATCACAGTTAGAATATCGTTGGTTTATTTTCAAAAAGATAGAAATTCGTCGTTGAATTCATATAGGCATTCCTAGAATATTATTCACTAAATTCTATAAATTATTTTCTAGTTTACAGTGTAGACTGATGAAGAAAGCTGTATCTATGAAAGGTTTTGTAAAATATAATTTTCAATATTATAAATAAAAATAATAAATATCAACGAGATCAATCATGTTTGAATCAGGTCACAGTTTGAAGAAAATCCAATGCAGGTACCAGTTCTCGTGTTGGCTAAAAACATTTGGTCCTGGTCAACGTTCAACCGGGATCGAGACCATATTGCCCATGTTTAGAAAATTAATATCGAAAACGAGATTATATATTCATTTTCGATAAAGATCAAGTTGTAATGTAAATATTTTACTGACATGAAAGACTTCATCAACGTGTGCTAAGTGTCGGAAAAAATATGTCTCAGCGTAAGTTTTATTAGTGACTATATTTTGTGAGTGCAGACATGAGTAGAACGAAGAATTTTTCGACATTTGTACATGCACTCACAGTCGATCACCTATGTCCCTTATCCGCACTCTCATTCTAGTTTGCCAATTGTTCTAAATAAAAACAGACTGGCCTACCCACGTCGATCGTTCCAGTCACCGGATACTGTAGGAACCTGCCAGAAAGTTGCGGAAAAATCACCGTGTTCCGGAGGAAAACACGGGAANTTCTCCGGGGCGCGTCACTCAACCGGAGAGAACGAGAAGGAACACGACAAAGAGGAAGATAGAATATACATGACAAAGAGGAAGAGAGAATACACATGACAATGAGGAGAAAGTCGTTATGTACATTGCCTAGGATAGGCCGAGTGCTTATATCGGCACACTTACATGAAAGACTTCATCAACGTGTGCTAAGTGTCGGAAAAAATATGTCTCAGCGTAAGTTTTATTAGTGACCATATTTTGTGAGTGCAGACATGAGTAGAACGAAGAATTTTTCGACATTTGTACAAGCACACAATCGATCACCTATGTCCCTTATCCGCACTCTCATTCTAGTTTGTCAATTGTTCTAAATAAAAACAGACTGGCCTACCCACGTCGATCGTTCCAGTCACCGGATACTGTAGGAACCTGCCAGAAAGTTGCGGAAAAATCACCGTGTTCCGGAGGAAAACACGGGAAGTCTCTGGAACATGGAAGCAGTATTCCGGTCTGAAAATTTTCGGAGTTTTTCCCGATGATTTACTGTCGATTCCTGCCGGAAAGTACTGAAAGTTGACCGGAATTCACCGGAAAAAAATCCTGGAATTTTTGGCCGGAATACTGCTTCCACTTTCCAGCTATTTCCCGCGCTTTCCGGTCATTTCCCGCCGTACCGCCACGACCTGGGTATCTATGTTGAAACAATAGATAAAAGTCAATCTGCTATTCTCAACTCGTGCTTTTTAGCAATCGATTGTTTTGTCAAAGTTAAGTGAATGTGCTGAAACAACAAGTTGTTGTACTTGATATAAAAAAATCATTCAAGAAATGCAGAGCTTAATTTGTCGATGCGTTTCGTGTTATTTATTAAAATTTTAAAACACTCATCAGCACTCTGCAATACAATTATTATTAAAGCACAAATAAAATGCAAAGTTCGCAAATCGAATATTAGAAATGTAAAACATTCGAAAATAAAGAAGAAAGAAAAACAAATAGATTCACATATAAAAAAAGATTTTTTTATTTAAAAAATGCAATCAAAAATAATGTTATAGATGCAGAATTTGTTTGTAAATTAGGGGTGTCACATTTAAATATAAAAAATTTTCTTAAATCGAGAAATAAATTTTCAAAAATTTAAATCCAATTGTTTGAAATTCAAATTAGTTAAATTTTCAAAATTAGTAGATAAACAGTTTTTCACTTGATTGCTATTATTTCATGTCAAATGTTAGTATGTTTCTTGTTTTCTTAAGTTAAAGCTAGTCATTCTTCTACTAATTTTGCTATTAAATATATTTTATGCGTAACCCAATATTTTGAAGAAGAAAGATGACGCATCCTGCATAATCTGTAGAGAAATTTTGTTTATTGTGAAGAAATATTAACCTAAAATACTAGGTTCTCCTCTCATTTAGTATTTACTACTGTTAGAGTCACGTATTTTCCTCATAGTAGTGATGTGTATCTATTCAATCAATTTATTAAATTTAAATGATTTTCCAGTTCAAGAAGTTAATCTAAATATTGTTTTAATTTATTTTGAATTTAACTTGATAGAATTTAATTTAAAATTAAATTAACTTTTCGAGAAGTTAAATTTAAATTAAATAAACTGTAGATTGATACCCCTAATAAAGATGTTGAAGATATTGGAAATATGCAAGATAAAGCTATTTGACACTCTTTCCCTGGTTTCTCTGAAACTAAAACAGATGGAACTGTGATTTTTTGAGAAGTGAAAGACTATCTTTTCATTCGCTCAACAAGAAACAATTATCAAAATTGATTGAACGCTTCTCGGCTAATAAGTACTTTTCTTTTTGGAATAGAGTCGTACAATGGCTGTGCTCTTGACTCATATATGTACCAATTTCTTTCTCACTTCTTCAGTTACTTATATTCATTCAAGTGCAGATTATTTTTAGCTTAAAAAGAACTAAAAACGATTAGTTTTTTCGTCAAATAAGCTCTTCTTCCGGTGTACATGTCTAATAATAAAACTTTATATAACGCACTTACATCATGTATTGGGGCCACGCGACACCATCTTCTTTCCCTTCTAACGGAAGGTACTTCTGAAATTGAAACATCAAGAAGTCTTTTTTTAATTGAATGGAAATTTTAAGTTTAACATTTATGCCCCAAACGTAAAGCGGAGAGAAGACTTTTCCTTAACATTGTGTCTAACCATTTCTATACCTCCTGAATCTCTATATCTATTACCTTAGTACTTAATTGAGTTTCTTGGAATATTATTAGAAGACATCATATGACACAACGGCGCATGCGCACTGATAACGAACACCAGAACTGATATTCTTTGACCAACACTGAAAATTAAAGCAGAAACATGCACTAGCGTTCACAAACGTATTTCAGCTTCAGGTCCCCGCACCCACACACACTATGCTCTCGATGCTACCATTACCGTCTGTTTCTTTTGTTAAGATCATTAATTTTTATTTTTTTGGTCAGATGAAAAATGATCTAATGAGAGAAGATATATGGATTCATTTGTTAGTAAAAAAATCTTAAGACAACCTTTACACATAGATATGAGTATTTTCTACAGTTCTTATTATTTTTTTATGCTTCTTCTTGAGAAAGCATAGGAAATATTTATGCGTTGAAATTATCGTTAATTTTTGATTTGACAAATATTATCACAGATATAAAATGACATTTAGATAAGGAGATTAATGAATTTTTATGCTATCTATCATGTACATAA